CCGAAAGTTGAAAGCATTTTGAAAATTTATTTCGACGTTTCGACTAAACTATAGTCATCATCAGGAAATGAATGATCATTCATTTCCTGATGATGACTATAGTTTAGTCGAAACGTCAAAATAAATTTTCAAAATACTTTCAATTTTCGGAGTATCTATTGTTTTGTATTCGACCTAACCAGGAACAACTGCAACTATATGCCCTCTGGCAGGAATCCAACCTGCGGCTCTGTAATTCCGGTGCAGTGCTCGAACCAACTGAGCTACAGAGGCCAGTTGTCGAGCTCTATTGATTGATATGCCCAAAATCGTGATAGCATTTACAATTTGATTCAACTAACTTTGTTTCTCTTGCCAGAGGATGTATGGGTACAAGAGATGCCGTGGAAAGACTTTTATCTCGGGATGACACAGAAATATAACACAGTTTTAATAATTAGTTGATAATTTAGTTTTAAATATTTTTATATCAAACGATATACGAACACATGTTCTAGCTTGGCAACACAACGGACAAGTAGCCAGGTGATTGTGGTCCTAATAGTATACAGTATATAAATCTAAACTATATTATTTATTGGCAACAAAAATCAAGTTTTAATGAAGGCTATATAAGTTTACATACGAAGTACTTCTAGAGCGTTGATTTCCAAGGTTTTACGGTGGGAGCCTCGATTTCAGCATAACATTTCCATTCACCTATTTTTATATTTGGGGGTGGGGGTGGGCCCATGGGCGTAAATACCCCCTAGCTAACATGTGCAGGGACCGCGAAGCCTGTTTAAAAGTTGGTAATTCAAGACATGCATTCAGCAACATGAATTGAAAATTGCGCAATAAAATTTTTTAGTTGACTACACTCCTTCAAATGCTTCGTCGTTTTAATCATTATAACTATCTGGCGAGTGTATGCTTTTAGAGTACAAAACAAAAACAAAAATTGAACGGCATCTTGAAAATCCATGATACAGATTAAAACAAGACGTAATTTAAAGTGAAGATTGAAAATTATGCCTAAAGATAAAGGACGATAGATTATGATAGAAAAACTCGCGAGAGTCGTGCAAGAGTTTAAAGACATTAAGACTTGATGGTCGTTCATAGAAAGATATATCTTCTTAGCAGCTATATATAGTTTTCTATACAAGATAGATTCACTGAACGTTTCTTTTGATAAGTCAAAAGACGGACAGAAAAGCTTTGCTGATTGGAACTCAAGATGACCTACTTACTGGTGGTGTTCGGTCTGGTATGTTAAATGAAGCTCAGGACTCTCTCACGCCATGGGCAAGATTAAAGTCGACTCAAATGAAACGTTTGAATCTGCCAAGAAAAGATTCGAGGAAGCGCGCCAGAGAACGAACGATGCATGAAGCATTAAAGATTGAATCTTCGCTGCGAAACTAAGAATAGTTATGGAGATCCTGAATTGTCTTGAAACCGTAATCACTGAGCATTTGATGTTTCTGTTGCATTTATCCTGAATGGCAGGTATAAGCTTGCATAGCTTGCCTGTCATTCAAGATATATTCTCGGTGTGTGAACTATAGGCGTGGTTTCTGCCTTAGATCTCATCTTTCACTCATATGCATGCCTGACAAATGTGGAGACACTGACTATGTGCATGGAGCTCGAACGAATCCAACGCAGAGCAACCGAATTCGTACTAGCTTTAGCCTTTACCCTTTCAAATGAGACCTGTCATACAAAACGAGACTCGCTACACTGAAGATGCTACACCTTTGCTTGGCACAGATATCTTCACATTCTCGTCTTAATATTCAAATGTACGCATGCCATATTTAAAACTGATATCCTATATTTTACTTCAACCATAAATCTACGTTCAACTATTAACAACGCTCTAAAGATAGAACGCCATGCCACCAGAACAGCTATAGTATGAAATTCCCTGCCAGATGAGCAAAGTAAGCGGACATCTCATTTCAAATCTCGTTCGTTGTTTTAATTACTACTTCAGCGACACCTGGACAACCCACGTGACAATGAGTCTGTCTGAAGTGTCGTAAGCAAGACAGCTTACTGACATAAAGAAATGCTGCTTTTACCATTGACTATAGTTAATATAGTTATTTTATCTCATGAAGAGTAGTTCTACCTACTCTACTCTATATATTCTCACATATCATTCATTCAAGTCTTTAGTCTACAGTACAAACTGTCTCTCCATTTCAGATAAGATAGACTATAGGTTGCAATCTTGTTTTATGTTTCTACTGTGTTTTGTTGTGAATTTGTTCCGAATTTGCCGATCCACTAAAAATGTGTGCCGAAACCTATACTCGCCTGGGCACAGGTACCCCAGTGAGTAATAAACGTTGACTAGCATAAATAATGAGTTATATTGTCATTCTAATGAGTTTCCAAACCATCTATTTTATTAACTATGCGTTAGCGGAACCTCACTATAACCAACAAACTATATTCTGTTCATGTTAAAAGTTAATGTTATGCTGAATTGTGCATGCTTTTATGTACTGATCATAATTATAAGATATGATTTTATATTTACCAGCTAATGTCAAAGGTGTAAATATATCAGGCTAGTGGGAATCATCCTGTTTTTCCCCTCGATTGTATGTGATTTAATTAATTGTGATGTCATGTTTCTTTTTATATACAAAGAAACTATAAACTATTATAAAATAATAAAACAGTAGATTATGAAGTGTAACAATTAAATAAAACAGAAATCGCGATGATTGCCCAGATAAAAGCTGTAGATTTGTTTGAAAAACGTGACTCACTTGCTTGACTGCTTTCAGCTGTTTTGCAACTAACAGCAATGAGTATATCTGGACTAAGAGTGTTATGAGTTGATACGCACGATCGGAAGAATTTGAAGGATGATGCTGAAATTGATTGCCACCCATATTGTATATGCCAAGAGTTTCGACTGGTCTGTACACGGTCTACATCAGCATTTCCATCGGCAACCCACATGGACCGAAATGTGGTGAATGGTATCAGTGGAGTGGTAGTGTAAGAAATGTCATCGACATGAATGGTAGTAGAAGTCGTAGTGTACTGAAGAGTTGCCGTAGCTTTACCACCTGACTCATAGTGTAATTCCATTATGAGACTTTTAGCATTTATATTCACTCTAATGATGGATGCATATGGACGTATTGGATTAGTTGTAGGTCCAATGATGACAGAAGAACCAAAAGGTATCCAGTCAATGCCATCAGGTGGGAATGGAAGAATACGACTGTTGCCATCTTGATAGAGTACAAACAGTTGGCTAAAGTTATTTGTTCCTGGTATTTTTCTATAAATACGAAAGTAAGTAATGTTGTGCCATTCTTGATTATTATGCAAATTCTTAATAATCATGCCTTTGGGATACAACCACCAAAAGTCAATTGTTATTGCTTCGATGATTGTTTCTCCGTTGTTAAATACAGTAATAGTGTTGCTCTCACCACGTTCTTCTCGTTTATCCAGTTTTATATAATCAAATTTTCCTGATGCATTAATAGAACTTCCATTGGCAACTTGTAATTCAATCTGATTCGAATTTTGTCCCTCACTCCATGTAAGATCAGGCACCCTCCACATTTTTGTCAATTCACCTGAATTGAATGTAGCATTTCCTAAAGACAGCCATTTTTTATTTCTTCCAAAGCACCTCGCTTGTAAAACCAAATTACCAGTGACTTCAGTGAACTTCACTGTTAAGACTGAACCAATGGAAGCCTCAACTAGGCCACTACTGATACCCCTTGCTGTAAAGTATATCTTGTATTTCGTATTGTTATATTTATTGGTGATTTCATGACAAAATGTAGAAATTGATTCTCCGATATAGTAAACATTGGAAGCGCATGAAGCTGCGAACTCGGAATGACTGTTATCATTTACGCCAATTTTCCAAATATTTTGAGATGCAAATTTACAATTTGTAAAATTTTCTTTACGATTGTTCATTGTGGTGATTGATGGATAATACTCAGGTAAATGTGCGGTGACTTTGAAGCTCTGAACTCCACTGTAGAAGATAGGAATGTTGACATTGTCCTCCTCTGCACAACTAGTGTCGCTGCTATTACGTGTTGCGTATGGAGGATTGTTGCAGTTTAAAGCGCCTGTCAACAAGCTAATATTTGTGCACATTGGACTCGGTTGAATTCGAGCTGTACAAGTGAGGTTGAGAATTGACTTGTCGAGCTCAACTCCATATGAATCCGTGTTCACAGCTTTAAGTTGCAGTTGGTGTGAGCCAGAGTTGATCTTTCTGTTCTCCCCAATCATTCCAGTGTTCCTTATCACGTTCCAATTCATACCAAAGTTTGAAGCTGCTATGGTGTTGAAAGAGCCAATCCGAATGCCATCAATTTGAACCTCAATAACATCCGAGCCTCCGTCATTTGTGTAAGCCACATCGTGTATTTCCACTGAACATGATGATCGTGTGGGGAATGTATGTGTTACTGACTGAGAGGCAGTAAGATAAACTGTAGCTTTGCCCGACGCTGCACTACGGTCTTTTATCGATCCCGTGTATGAACCATCTTCTGCCTCAAACTTAATAAGCTCAGAACTCGTTTGAGAGATCTGATAAAATGCCAATATTGCAATGCAGAGCATAAAACTAATTTTAGGCAACATTTTCGTTCTCACTGTAAATTCACGAAGCGTCTCCTACCATGAATAATACGATTTAGGAATGTTAATATTTCAGAAGATGAAAGAAATCGGTGTACCATGACGGTATTTGTATATCTCTGGCAAAAACATCTGCCCATTCATTGACGCAATATTGTACTCAAATAAAGAAAGATAAGAAGGTCGTTCGAGATAGCGATTAGCGAATGATATTTTGGCTTTATTCTCGAACCCAGTCCTGGAAACAGTCGATGTATATTACAGTAAAACTTACAGATTGGATACTGCTACTTATTAAATGCAGAGGTAAAAGCCTACACCGCAGGTGATCGGCCTCCAAGAGTGCCTGCTTCCCTGAAACACGCTAGGTATTTCCTGGAAAATTTGAACGCCTCGCTGCCTCATAACGCGGGAAGTGAACCTCATACTATAGAAGCTACTATCGCAAGGGAAGTCGTACGGCCATATAGGAAAGCTATTTTCCGACCCCTGGGATTGACCATATAAAAAGTAAACATACATTCAGCAGAATGTACATATTTTTCATATGATAATCATATCAAACTTTGCGTGAACAAAAAGTCTTGTAGTGAACAAATTGTTGCGAAATCAGGGCAAAATTCGAGGTTCGCTTTAGTGTTCGTTCATCGTAAGAAATTGCACGAGGTTAAATCGAATTTTTGACACATCTTTGACGTGTATTTCAAGTGCAATTTACTATAAGAATCGGGCTGGCCGCGCAAGCAGATTTGCGTAAGGAATTGGGTCCTAGTTCTTTCCGCGCATGAGTAACAACAAAAGTTAGCGCGAAATATGAAATCTTTGTTAAATGTGACGCATTTTGATGCCTAAATCATCATTCATCAATATATTAATGTGAAACGGGGGGGGGGGGGGGGGGGAATGCCCGTGAAGTTTGGAGTATATTTCTGCTATTAGCAAGCGTTTCTTGAAGTAGCCTGCTCGCAGCCCAAAAATTTCGTTCAAAGGAAAACCGCTTGGTCAGTGCAAACAACATCTTTCAAGTTCAACAAGCATATACACTTGAACCATACAATTAAGTAATTTATGCAAGCAGGTCTGACGTCACGGAACACGATTATGTTCGAACTTCAGCAGACGCCCTAATTTTCCGTTTCAAATTTTCTGCTGCGAGCAGGCTATATATTCTTGAAGAGGCTGGCAATGATATGCAACGCGATTCAAACGCAAGTTTATTAATTTGTTCTTGTTATCGTCCACCAAACTCAGATCATAGTTGGTTGGACAAGTTCAATAACGTTATGGGTGATGTTTGTTTACGACACCCAAATATTGTGCTTGCAGGATATTTCAATATGCCACATATATCATGGGACTCGCCAGAGAAAACATCAGGTAGTAGCGAAAGTATCTTCATAGAATTGCTCCATGACCATTTCTTGGAACAACTAAACACCGCACCTACTAGAGGTAATAACACGTTAGATCTCGTTCTTACCAATATTCCCAACAAAGTCAAAATATGTGAAATTTTGTCTCCCACTCAAGCAGAACTTTTCACTGATCACAACATTATATTTGCACTTTCAGTGTGTCATAATCAACTGCCAAAGATACGCAGAACTGTGTATAATTATCGTCAAGGTGATTTTGCTGGCTTACGAACTTCCCTTGAATGTCTAAATCTGGATTCCCTGATTACAACCGACGACAATATCAACCACGACTGACAACAGTGGAAGAAGGCGTTCCTAGAAGCAGTATCCCAACACATACCATCAGTGAGAGTAAAGAGTCGCAACTATGTACCGTGGATGAATTCTACAATTCTACACAACATGAAGAAGAAAAACTCTCTCCGCCTCAGAACTAAGAAATCCCTACACCAGCTAAACATCTCGTGGAAAAGTTCAAAACCCTTCGTAATTCCATCAAGCTAGTAACAGTCGCTCCAAATATTTCGACTCTATTTGTTCCAACCGTTGGGCTTAATCCCAAACGCTTCTGGTTCCTGTTCAAGCTCAATAATAAGACCGGAACATTCCTCAAAAGCTTTCGGTGAAAATAACTGAAACCAAAAGAACATTCTCAGGAAATCCAGCAGATATTACTGTCCTCTTCAACTACTTTACATCTATATATATTTACCACTGATCCAAATATCGAAAACTGCAGCTCTGATGCTCTTCCTGTCTTCCATATCAGTCTAACAATACTATCATGCAACCACTATGGAGAATGATCTTGCGAACTTCCAAACCCCTCTGCCAATGCTAATCTTTTCCTCAACACAGATAAATGTAAGGTACTTTGAATAACTAGAAAACGCAACAAAATCATACTTACAAGTTGCAAGATTCCGCGCGAGAGCCAACCACGGGCAAAATGACGATTGGTGAACACGGGCCCCCTGTCCCTGTCGACTCTCCCGCTGGCTATTTTTAATTGCAATCAACGAGAGAATTACCAGCGAATTACTTGAACAGAAATCACCGCATAATTGATAAAAACGCAATGTGAACGATGTTCAGCTAACTGTTTTTGCTGAGAAAACGATAGAAAAATCGTTTATTTCACATTTGGTACGTTTTACGATCGATGACGATCAGCGGATAGTGTGCAAGTAGGCGTATTTCATTTAGGACAAACTACATAAAGCGATGATAAGAAATGCAAACATCAATACTAGTCATTTGAACAGAAGAGGTGTGCATTTAAATAAGTTAGGTAGTTTATCACTCCAAAATAACGTTACTGAGTTTACAAATAACTTAGATCATTGACATAATGCCGCTTCGTTTAGAGTTGCTAAATCAGTATATAATATGCAATCTTTACAAACCAATATGCCTAATGAACAAAACCTACTCTTACCTAAGATGAGTGGTTTTAAACTAGCATCACTCAATGTAACTAGTTTAGTTAAGCACATTGAGGAGCTCAGAATCCTCCTAGCCAATAATATGATGTATTGGCTATAATTGAGACAAGGCTTGACTCTACGGTTAGTGATGATGAAGTGCATATACATGGCTACGAAATTGTTCGCCATGATAGAGAATCTAATGGTAGATTTGGCGGAGGTGTTTGTGTTACCTCGTGCCATACAGGTTACTTTTTGCCAGTTAGGATTACCAATGCTTACACAATAGTTGCTCCAAAACTTTATTTATTATAGTTATACAAACTTTGATTGGTTATATATAGACTATATATCACACTTAATATTTCTATCTTGATCTGACTTCGTCGTTGATGTTACCTCTTCAAGAGCGTAAACTTAACTCTGTAACATGTGTTCTCAACACCGTCTATATCATGCACTATTATTTATTAACTGTAGTAAACGTCCTTCCTGTCCAACGTTTACTCTGGCTATTACGTCAATGGAATTGGCTCATAAACTAAACTAAACTTAATTAAATCAATACATTGACACATTCTAACATTTGTTTTTATATCCGTAGTTGTATAAATTTTTCGGTTCGGCATGATTTATCATTTGATCAATTAGAAAACTTGTGCATCTTAATTAATAAAGAGGGCCCTGAAGGGGTAAAATGGGAACTGGGATTGATCTATTTTTAGACTGGGAAAATGGGATTTGGGTTGCTGGGACTGGGATTTGGCCATTGGGAATAGGAAATGAAGTCCTCAAAAATGGGAATGGGATTGAGGTATAATGCGAGTCAATTCCCAATTTTTCTGCGTTTTGAGTATTTTAAAATACAATTTTTATCCGTTTTTGGTGTCTTTGGTCATGATTTTTGTTGTTAACTATCCAGGTGATCTTGATACGCGGAAAAGTACTGGCACTAGTTGTCAAATAGAAATCCATTTTATGATTAAAACAACTGAATATCTCCTGTAATATACTTTATTTCGATTCCATATTTTTGTCAGAGCTATAGTTCTCATAACC